TTACTTTTCTCAGCTTATCTTTATTTTCATTCATCTTTGATTACGAAGAAATAGCTCTAACATTAGAAGAAAAACTAAACCTTAGCAGTTCTTTTGATTACTGCCAAAGAGAATTTTGTTTACACTCTGTGTTGTGCAAATTATTCTGAGAGTCTGGTTGCTGTTTACCTGTGAAAACTTTTTTATTTTCATCATATTTTTGTTGCAGTTTCCAAGTAATTTTCGCTTTTCTTCCCTTCCTTTTCATACATCAACACATACACTGCCCACCTAAGGCTGAAGTAATCTTTCTGCTTGTTTTCATCTGTTGGCTGCTTTTGCTATAAACAACTCTTGCATAGACTTATCAGCACGACACTTCAGAGAAAATATCAGGTTTGTGATCAACTGATTTTCTGTCATCACTGATTCATTTAAAATTGCGTAATCCATATGATATTCAGTGTCATGAAGATGTTGGAAAAAAACGGGAGTGCTGTATGATTGACCAAGAGACACACGAAAAGGCAAGAAAAGTAGACAAGAAAAATGACCTGTTATTTGCACCTGATAACAGAAGTGCATTTTTTTCTCTGTCCACTGTGTTTCTGCTCTGCCGGAAATCAATATGCTTCCTTTTTTTCTTTGCTGGCTCTGTCTAAGATTGTCTGACTGCGTCAGAAGAGATTCTGTTTACCACTCTGAATACCCAACATTTTATCGTGCATATTTACTTGCTTTCTTACATTCAGTAAATCCCAAATATATTCAACTTGCACTGCCAGATCGAGCTAAAGCACTGATTGTCCTTCTTTTTTACTTTATAGGTTGAATTTAAAAAGGGGTTAATTAGGATGATCAAATGTATCTTATTGTTATTGTGGAGATATAGATCGCAGGGAAAAAATGGTACTCACATACTTAATCTTTTGCCAATTTTGGGGTCATATTTTGTCATCTGCTTTTTTTTTTTTTAAAAAGGCCTTCATATCTTTTTACATAAATCATAATTCCTTCATCAAAATCGTGCCCAGAGTAGTATTTTACTTGATTCTTGTGTGTCTCAGTAATCTTTGTAGAATCTGCTCCTTGAGCAAGAGTGACCTCATGAAATGAGCGGCAGCCACATGGAGAGAGGTGGCATCTCATTGCAGGTAAGCATCTTTCTTCCATTTTGAAAAAAAGCACCTAAAAACATCTATTTCATAACAAATGATTTCTCTGTAGTAACAAATTTAACATTCTACAATATATTTAACATTTAACATTCTACAATAT